AAATGAAATAATCCTTGATCTAATGATTAATATTTTAATAGAAATAGTACTATTAAAACTGTCTTGATAAGAGCTTTCTAATAAATATAAGCTTGACCTGATTGAATCATTAATTAGCAAGATATTTCAAAATGAATAATTAAGGATAATTTTATAGATCACTATTATAAAGAGCTGTAATTATTTAATGTAAATTAGCAATCAATCAGCTAAAATTATAAAAATGTCAGAAATGATAATAATATCATTAACAAAGTTAAAAAACTCTTTCTTATTAGATTTTGTCTAAGAATTTTTATGTAAAAAATGTATATATTTAAAGGTGACTATAGCTTAACCTGCAAGCAAAAAATAAAACTCTCTTTTTTAAACTTTTTTCTCTTTTTATTTCTTATACTCAACCAAAAAATATTTTGTTATTAGTTTAAATATTGATGTTTTTTTATTAAAATACTTTTTTCATTATTTCTTTTAAATATTTTTCTCATTTGTTTTCTTTTTTCTTTTTTATTTACAGAAAGTGAGCATCAAAGGGTATTTAAAATGATAATTAGAATTGACATAACTTTGAGCATAAACAAATCTCAAATGATGACTATTCAATTATTTTTATAAATAATATCACTCTTTAAAAGATCTTTAACGTCATATAGCCTACTGATCTTAGTAAGATTTTCTGATTTCTTGTAATTGCATGATTTGAGCTTTATACAATACCTACTAATAACTGTAATCTAAATTAATAGACATTTTAGCGTAAAAGTTTAAGAGTACTGAAAAGCCTTTAACAGAATTTAGTAATATAAATGCTTCTATATTAGAAGATTGTTATAACTAGAAATTAATTAGACAACTTAGCTAAGGACTTATTAAAGTCATGTTTTTTTAACCTTTTTTTTTTAAAAATTAATCTCAAGTTTGTTAATTTTAAAAAGGTTTAAATTTTCTGTAGTTAACAGATTAATAAACAATTAAAAAAAAGCATTGTAATATTAACACTTTTATTAGCTTTCTTTTATTGAAAAATTTGCTTATTAAAAATAGTTTTTTAGGTATTTGAAAGAAATCATCAGTAATTAGTCAACTCAAATAGGCTTAAAATAAAGCTACGAGAAGTAGCTGCAATTTTAGTTTAGATTTCTTATTTATATTCTTTTTACTTTGTTAATTAATACATTTAAACTTATAAATTTTTTAATAAAACTTGTGATAATATTATATTATTAAAAGTCAAAAAAAAAAAAGTTATTAATGAAGTTAAATATATTAATATAATTAATATAATTTACTTAATTTAAAACTTGTTAATTAATTTAGCAATATTTACTAAATTTCTATAGTTTATTAAGTTATATTTATTTTAATTTAGTAATAGAATTAGATTAAAAGTTTATATAAATTTCATATATTCTCATCAGTCAGTGAACAATCAGTTAATCAGTCAGTCTTAAGTTAATTTTTAGATATTTATCAGTTAGTTATTAGATAATTATTCTAATACAGTTTTGTAATAGTTGAATTTATTGTTTACTCTTTAATTTTATAAGTTTATAAATAAGAGCTTATTGAAATTATTAAATAATATTGATTCCAATTTCTTTAATTAATAAAACTAACCTTTTATCTTATAATTTTAATTAGTTAAACTTGTAACATAAAATCTAATCCATCATTATTAGTTTTTCATATAAATATATATATTGATTATAGTGATTTATATTGATAATTTTATTAATATAAATAAGACTTTAGAATATTAATAAATATTATTATTCTTCAGATATCTAAAATTTTGCTATATATATTGAAATCTATTTTTCAGTTAATAGACTTTATAATCAACTCATATAATAATGTATCTTAAGAAATCAATAGTTTAGAAATAGATTTAATGAGTTAAAAGGAATAATATAATTTACTTTAATTCAAGTAAGCTTATTATTTTGTATCTTATTATTTGATGTCTTTGAGAATAATAATATATTTTTATGTTAAATAAACTAAGTAATAGTATTATTTATTTTATAAGTAAATTTGAGCTAATTAAAAATTCTTGTAAGCTTATCAAATTGGTAAAATTAATTAATAATTTTTTTTAGAATATAATAGTTATTTTCTATTTTATTAGTTTATAATTCAAATTATAGATGCCTGCCGAAACCTTCTCAAAATAATTTCGTCATACCCTTTTCTATGTTTTTAATATAGTTTCGACAGTTTCGGCTTTCGTCGTATCGAATGGGTTTCGTCGTATCTCTTATTATGATTTTTAATATAGTTTCGTCTAAGTTTCGACTGTTATTAAGAGGTTTCGTCCCTCATCTATAATTCAAATTTAAAAATGTATTATATTATTGTAATTATAAATACAATCATCAAATTGAAAAATGATCTGCATAAAAGAATATATTGCATGATATGTGAAATATGTGTAGATCATGTTATAAAGATAATTAGTAAATTAGTAAGTTATATATATCTCATGTTCTCAGTTTTTTATTCTCAATTTTATAATAGAAAACAGTTATGAGTTATTAGTTATACTTGTATTGAGTGAAAATATTATTTCTCATTTGCATTATAGTCTAAATTCTCAAAATTAGTAGATAACATCAGTTTATAAAAAATATATATTGGATAAAGAAAATTCAGTTGTTATAGCTATTTTTATATATTCAGTTTATTTAAAAATGAAAACTGAATTTATAACAAATAACCAAAAATTTTCTTTGCAAGTTGTAAAAAGTAATTCTAATGATCCAGAACTACCTAATTATATTAGTCAAAGTAAAGAAGAAATTGATCAAGTTGCAAATAATCTAACATAAGCAATTTCATCATTGTATCAAAAAATTTTTGATGAAGGTATAAGAATTGTTAGACTAGAGGTATTAGAATTTGAAAATAAAAAATACTTAAAAAATTAGTTGTAGATTTAAATTTTAAACATTTTTATTTTCTATTGAAAAACTATCAGTAATGATTTATGGTTTAGGTAATTCATCACATGAAAAATTTATGGGAGCTGATCCGGATATGTATTATTTCTATCATATAAATATAACAAAGAACAAAGCATTTATGTATAGAAAATTACAAATGTAAGTTGTATTATTGAAGTTTAATGTAATAATGAGCAAGTAAATAGATATGAGAAAGTAACACCATTAGAAGTTTAGAAAAAAACAAATATTTTGAAAAGTATAAGTAGCAATACATTATTTGGATTAGATCATATTATAATACAAATAAAATTACGTCAATTGCATATTTTAACTTGTAAACAATTACAATAAACTAATAAAAATATTATGTATAAGATTTATAATTATCATCTCAAACAAAGAACTATTAGTAATATAGAATGGTAGAGATTTTTTATTACTTAGTATAATTATCCAAATAATATTATTGAATTACAGACCATATTAGAAAAAATCTATCCTATAAATTATAATTTAAGTAAACGTGAATTACAAGCTTAGTATTCAATATTAAGTTCAATAGGATATATAAATATAACATCTTTTAGATATGACATATCTCAAGTAAGTATATTATACTTTAGTATATTACTTTAACAATTACTTATTATTATAACCTAATTTTTATTTTTATTTAAGTTTGAATTTTAGACTAAATCTACAGTTACTAAAAGTGATCAAAATAATATAATCACACTTTATCAATTAGGGTTTTTAAATCTTTTGCCAGAAAATATCAAGAATTCAACTAATATTTTTTGGAAATTATTACTGAGAGTTTTAAACAAAATAAAAAGGAAGATAATGAAAAGATACATATTTTATCTATAATAACACAAAATTTTACTTATCAATAATTAAATGAAAAATTAAGGATAATGTAATATCATTTGTTTATTTTTTTTTAATTATAATATTTTATAATTACATTAAAATAATTTAGTTTACTATTTCTTTGCAAAAACCTACCAATTTTAAAAAATATGATATACATATTATTAACATGTAATAATCATATATTCAACATATAGTAAAGAATATAATATGAATATAAGATATTTAAAAGATGTGTAAAATATAGTTGCAATATCTTGTACATATACCAAAATTACAATTAAACTATAATTTTTATAAATGTGTTAAACATATCAATGATAGACAGCATTTATATATTCAGCATATTGTAATATAAAACCTTAAGATTATTATTTATATAATATAAGAATGCAAACTTTTTATATTGTTAAAATACAGTTAATATATAAATAAAATATATTTGTAATATGCTTAATATATGATGAAACATGAACTTAAAATTTATAATATTCTGATAAAGTAACATATATTAAATTCATTGAATATGAATATTTGCTTTTGAATATGAAGGAAATTGATAATAAAAATTGTTTTTCTAAAGTGAAGGAATAGTGAATATTAAGTAAAGTATTTTATCTTTTTCTAAATATCATATTATTTAATGATGAAATAAAATATAAAAATGTTAATTCTTCGTATCTCATATTATTTCAAGAATTTAAGAGTTCTCGAACTGGTAATGATCTGACTACTCTAAGTTTTGTTAGTATTTTTAAGTCAATTGTATATTCATCAAGTTTCTTTATTACAGATTGTATATTCTTTCCATCTTTTATTGCTTTGATTGTAGCTTTGACAGCTTGTTGAACGAAAATACTAAGCTTGATAACAATTAATCTCTTTTTTTAACTTTTATTATTCAGTTGCTTTTAAATGCAACTGAAGTAATTGTCACTAAATATTAGTAGTTATAAATTCGTCTAATTCGTTATATGATTCTTTTGCACTATTTTAAATTAAATGTTCAGTTAATTTTAATAATAAATTATTAGTTACATATATTACTAATACAAACCTTTCATACAATGATATAAATTCGTTTGCAAGGTTTATGACGTTTATATGAAATTTATACCAGTATATATTATACTAACTGCCTAAGTCTTTAGTTAGTGTTCTAATTCTATGATCGATTTTTATGTAATCACAAACACGAACTATTATTCCTTATAAAGCTCTTGCATATTATTTTGAGTTTGCAAGAAGAGTGCCTTACATTCTTCTTATAACTGGTATTTTTTATACTAAATATAAAAATAAAAATACTATCAGTAAATAAGAGCTTTTGGGCAATAATATTGTTTATTATATTTTACATTATCTGAGTAATTTCTACTTGAGAATCTTAATATTGTAAACTTTTTGAACCTTACGAACCTTGTGATTTTTCTTCATTAGTAATCAGTATCGATTTTGCATTTTTGATCTTTAATGTCAGGTTTAAGATTTATGAATGATTCACTAACCATACTGTAGCTTCAAATTCTTTGTTCATGTGTTGAAACTGTATCAGTATTTGCAATAGTATTTTATTATCGCTTCCTATTGATTTAGATTCAACAATATATAAATATATGTAAAAAATAACCTATAATAATGACATATACTATATCCTTCAGTTTTCTTACTATTACTACTATTACTTAATATAGTAAAAACGTCATCTTTTAGAGTAGTGATAGCAGTTTTTGTCTTTTTCGTAGAAGGAACTGGAGTATCACTTATGATTAAACTTTCTGCTTTCTCGTTACCTATTTTGGTAGATACTATTTCAGTGGATTCTCTTTCAATAAATTCTTTTTTAATGAGTTCTTCTTCAGTATCTGTTTATTTATTATTTTGTTTGCATTTTTTCATCTTTTTCGTAAATATAGTACTGGTATTTTTTAGATTATCTAAAGAATTTTTAAACGGAATATTATAATATTAGTAATTATTAAAAATAATCAAGTCATATAATATATTTTATGTACCTTTACTCATAGTAGATCCTTTTCTTATAGTAGATTATGTTTGATGCTTTTGATTACTAGTAGATTGCATGTCTTTAGATATTTTCAATATAATAAAATATTCATTAAATAAAGTAATATATTTAAAGAATTTATATTTTCAGTTGCTTACCCGCAATTTTCTTTTTTTTCATCTTGTTACTAATAGAAGATTAAGTATTACGATTATATTTAGCAAATGATAAAGTTTTAAAATTTGACAAATAAGTTTTTAAAGTTTTATAAGAAAGTTTGTATTTAGTGAAGCGATCAAAATCAAACTTTTATTTTATTTGTATATTAAAATATATTTTTAATCATGATCTGATTCAATAATAATAACTAATTTATATCAATCAATCAATCAATTGAAACAATTGCATAGATCACAATACATTTTAAGGGTTGTATTATTTGATCAGTTCAGCCTATATAAAAAATTCTTCTATTTTATATTTCATTATAATTTGAAAAAATATTAAAATTCTTGGAATTCTAGTAAATTTCAGCTTGAAAATTGATCTACTCGACAAATAATTATATAATCAAACAAATATCAATGTTAACCAAATAAATTGATTATTTAATTTACTATTTATGTATATTTCATTAGTATTTTATTAGTTTATTTTATTAATATATTAATATAATAATATGATATCATCATTAAAAAATTAAAATTTAATTGTTTAAATGATAATAGTTTTAAAAAGTATACATATATATATCAAAAAAACTTTATTTTTTATTTTATTCAAACTTTCCTTTTTATATTTTATAAAAAAAATTGTATTTGTTAAAAATGAAACATTCAAAAACCAGTTGCCTATATGCAATATTGCCAAAGTTACGTGTTAAAGCTAAAAAATCACAATATGATGAATATCCTGTATTTAATAATATTTTAGAACATAATGACGTAGAAAACGCTTCAGAAGATGATAACACAAAAAATATTTTAAAAGATGATAATGTAGAAAATGTTTCGAAAGATGATAACGCAGAAAATGTTTCAGAAGATAATGACGCAAAAAATATTACTCCTTTTGATATTGGTATACACGAAAAAGACTTAAGTTTAATTGATAATGAAGAGTCAACTGACGGAAAGTCTAAAACCTCATCAGAAATGACAGATGAAGTTAGTATACATATTCTGAAATTATAGTACAGTCAGGGATTTTACCAAATATAGAATTTCTAAATACAGTGTTGATCAACAAATGATCGACATTCTAGAAGTTTATAAAAATTCACCGATCATTCTAAAATTATAAATGATCGATAAACTAAAATATATTAAATATATTAACCGTAACTGATTATGATTTTTTTAATTTCTTTTTTTTTATTATTTTTAGCAGAAATGTGGGACCTTTTTGCGTGATATGCTGAACGATTATATAATTAATCGACCGTGACTGTCATTTGAAGCAATTCATTAATAAGTTTCTTTTTTATTTTAATTTTAATTTTTTTTTTACTCTCTCTCTCTCCCTCTTCCTCTCTTCCTTTCTTTCTCTTATTCTTCCTCCTTTTTTTTGTAAGAACGGCTTCAGATTCTGAATTTACTTAGAGATATATCTTTCGGTAAGTTTTGGGCAAAATGGGTAGAGTTCTTCATTAAGAAAGAACGTTACTAATGTTCTTTTTCCTTTATTTTTTTTGTAGGAACAACTTCTAGTAACCTTTGGCTCTTGGAATTTCTCTTGGATTGGCTCTTGAGGATAAGTGTTGAATGGGTGGGATTCTTCTTTGAGAAAGAACGTTACTAATATTCTTTTTTCTTTTTTTTTTGTAGGAACGGCTTCTAAAAACATTTGGATTATGAAAGTTCTCTTGGGTTGGCTCTTGTAAGGTAGGTTTTGAATGGGGTGAGATTCTTCTTAAGAAAGAACATTTCTAACGTTCTTTTTTCTCTCTTTTTTGTAAGAACGGCTTATAAGAACCTTTGGACCATGAAATTTCTCTTGGATTAGCTTTTAGAAGATAGGTTTTGATAGGGTGAAATTCTTCTTTGAGAAAGAATGTTTCTAACGTTCTTTTTTCTTTCTTTTTTGTAAGAATAGCTTCTAAGATTATTTGGATTATGGAATTTCTCTCAGATCGGCTCTTAGAAGATAGGTTTTAAATGGGATAGGGTTCTTCTTTGAGAAAGAACGTTTCTAACATTCTTTTTTTTCTCTTTTTTGTAGAAATGGCTTATAAGAACCTTTGGATCATAGAATTTCTCTTGGATCGGCTCTTGAAAGGTAGGTTTTAATGGGGTGGGATTCTTCTTTAAGAAAAAACATTTCTAACGTTTTTTTTCTTTCTTTTTTGTAAAAACAGCTTCTAAGATTATTTGGATTATGGAATTTCTCTCAGATCAGCTTTTGGAAGGTAGGTTTTGAATGGGGTAGGGTTCTTCCTTGAGAAAGAACGTTACTAACATTCTTTTTTCTCTTTCTTTTTTGTAAGAACAGTTTCTAAGAACCTTTGGACTATAGAATTTCTCTTAAATCGGCTCTTGAAAGGTATGCTTTGAATGGGGTAGAGTTCTTCTTTGAGAAAGAACATTACTAACGTTCTTTTTTCTTCCTTTTTTTTATAGAAACAGCTTCTGGATCATAGAATTTCTCTTGAATCAGTGCTTTAGCTTTATAACTTGTTTTATGAATTATGTAATTAATAGCAATAATATTTCATTTAATAATATCTTAATATTTTATTTATTTGATAATATTAGTTGGTAATGTACAAAATTTTTGAATACAT